GCATTCTTGCATCATCCTTCTTGTTTTGTTGCCACATATGCCTGAGCTTAACATCAAGCTGTGTTCCCTTTCTTGGACTCTCAAACTCCAGAGTCTCTTCCTCAGACTTGGGGACCAGATCTTCTGTCTTCTGTGCAACTTACTTAGGCTGAATTTCCTGCCTTTTATGCTGTTTTTCCACCATACCCTGTCTTTCTAAGGTAATTCACCATTCCCCTGAGGGGTTCTTAGCAGATACATGTTTACTTATCTTTTCTACTTTGTTACATTTATCTTCTTTGATCTTGTCACTCCATACGTGGTTGCTCTGTTGCTGGGATTTGTTAGGGAGGGATACTATTCTTACTCAGGTGCATTTATCTCCTCCATATCTCGAGAGCCTTTTGTCTGGCTATCTTCCTCTGCCAGAGTGTTTTGGGGGAAATATCTGACTTTGGAATCACATGCTGAGGTTGCATACTAACATTATTCCCTATCCTCCCTAGTTTCCCATCTCTCCCATACTCTTTGTTTACCTATTTTTGTCTCCCATCCGTCAACTTCCTCTCTTCTCCCTGTTTCCATTCCAATTTATCTGCTTCAATTTGTCCTTCCACTGCTTGTAGACTTCAGAGCCGTCATCTGGCTTTTTCTTCTTTGTTGAGCTAGAGGCTGCCTCCAATTTTACATTTTACCAGCTCTGACTGGGTATGTTCTTTTTCATTTTGTGGGTAATCCACAAAATGATTATTTCCAAAGTGCTCTCATACCTCACTGATTCATGCTTAGTGGCAAGTGATGCTTGCTGTGGTATACTTATCATAAATCTGCACAGTATAAGGCCTTCAAAGTCTGATATACCACTCATGAGGTAGGATTCTCCACAAGACTGCTAAAGGTATCCTCGCAGTGCATAATTTCCTTAACAAGGACCAATCCAGACCGTACCCACTCATGAACTATCATGAGTAAAGCAGGCAGGAGATAGTTGCCCATTCTCCATACCTAGTTGATAAAATTGGTGCTGGCCTGCTTTTTAATATAGGATTTTTGTGGTCACCCATTCCACTGTTTACAATGTTACACTCATCCAGGCTCCCCAGTGCACATTCACCCCATTTTCTTCTAGTGGAGCACAGGAGTCCTAGCTTTTGGGGTGGTGGAACATAGAGGATTCCTCCTGAGTGTGACCAATTCCACTCAGTAGAGAGGAGGATGGAGGTGTTCTGTTTGAGGTAGTCCAATTCAACCCTCTGACTGGACTTCTCATGTCCTGTCTGTGCCCTAATGTTAGGTTCCAGGGTGGTCTGGTGCAGAACCAACCAACATAAACCCTCACTCAGTTTGTGGGGCTGATGGGACTCTTCTGTTCTACTTCACTATGATTGAGATGAAGGTAGTAAGGAACCCCCTTTTACCACAGACCAGATGAAAAATACCCAATGTCATGTAATTTTGGACTAGATTTGACCCGACACATATGGTCTGATTCACCTGAGCCACACTGTGCAATTTTTCACATCTATGATACTCATTTGAGTTCTGGACTGTGCTTTTCTGCCTTATCTGGCAACATGCCTTTTCTGTACAGGTGACGAGTGTACCCTGCTACAGACAATGTGAAGTCTCTCATGGGTGTTCCCCTATACGGTTCCATAGTATAGGGGTTCATACTCCATGGGTTCCCTTCGGACACTTCCCAAAGGGGACTTATCTAGGTAACTTGCACCGGTCCCTCCATCACTTCCACAATCAGTATAGCTGGAGCCAGCTGTGCTAAGAGGGTATGCCACACTCCTATTGGTGGAGGATTGTCACATGCTCAATTGCTGCAAACAGTGGAGCAGTATTGCTTGAAAAACATGAGTTTGAGTGGGACTCTCAAAGTTAGTGGCAAGGGAAAAAGTTTGTATATAGAGGGTATCACTGAATTGGGACACTTATATGTGAGAGGAAGTATCTATTGGAAATACATTTTCAGTGTTGGTAAATGTTAACTTTATATACATCAACAATGTCAGGCCTGTAATTTCTTGTCCTGGGTAAAATATTCTTCATTTATAACAGTTTTCTTCTTCAGAGTTCATTGGCAAACTTGATTGAATTTTATTAAAAGTCCTAGATTGTTTTATCAGTTCTTTGCAGATATTTTTTCAAGAATATAAAAGTAAGACCCAAGTGTAATTTAACTGTCTCTAACTGTAGCATATTTAAGCAAGAAACCACCGTATGTGCTATAGTTGATTAACCCTTTCGTGACACGAAGTCAAACTGCATATACAGCAATCTTTTAGCAAATTATTTTCAAAATTTAATGAAACTATTTTTTCTTTATGTTATACTAATTAGTATAGCATAAAGTAGCTAATAATTCATATTTTAATAGTATATAAGTTTTAATTTTATAAGGCAACATTTAAAAAACAAAATCCAGAGTTTCCTCTAGTGTGAGTAATGTGACATTTTTTCTCTAAGTATCCCATCTTCTCTATTTTATTCACTACTCCTCTTATAAGTATGAAATTTAATGTAAATTATTCTCCATAGAATTGTTATTGCTCATACAAACTGTAATTTTTATAGCCTGCATTTTGTTTGGTACTGAGCCATCAAACAGAAAATCAGACCCCTCTTGTCACATCCTCTCTTTTAGGATTTGTTGATAGTTCTCTCTTTTATGTTTAATTCTATATTATGTATAACCAATAGAAAGCCAAGGTTTTCATCTATGAATAATGTATTATATTATTTTGTTTTCTGAACAAGAAAGTTAACAACTAGCTTGGATGAATTTGTAATGGTTTTTGTTGCATAGTTAGAAAACCAGGAAAATTGTGATAGTTATGGGACATTGTCTGCTTTTTGTCTATGTTCTTAGGTGCCTTACTTAATTAAATAAAAATTATTTAGTGCATTACTACCATTAGTATAAAAGTAGGGTTAAGTGTCACCGACAGTCAACAGCAAAAGTAAAGACCCGGGTAAGTACTTTATTTCTTGTTTTTTATGTGTATTTTTTATATATATATATATTATTATAAAATAACTAATGTAAAAATAGGAATCTCTTTAAGTTAGTTAAAGTTAGATTAGGTAAAATAAATAATAATAGTAACATAATCAAAATATTTAATGAGTTATGCATAAGAGTAGCTCTGAGTACCTCTTGGGTTGTGTAATTCCATAGTGTAACATGAGTTCCACATTCCCCAATTGATTTACAACTTATAATGGCACGAATAGTAGTTATACTGTTCAAAGGGCAATAAACCAATAAAATTTAAGCATAAATAGATGTATACTGTTATGAGTTTTGAGCTACTTAAGATATAGGAATGTAGTTGCATGTTACAATTTGAAGTCATTCTAGAAAGAAACAAAGGGTAATTTAGACTTGCTTCAGTTTTTTTTTTTTTTTTTTTTTATGGTTATGAGGTTGGACAATTTCACCAACCTTGTATAGAGTTAGGGTAGAGAAAATAACAGAGAAAATATAAAGTTTTACTGAAAACAAGTGTTTGAAAAGTATTTAGGATGTTTTAGGGATTACACAAATGAAATTTGAGATTTTTGAGATGAAGAAAAGTATTTTTAATCTTAACATGAAAATTAGTTTGTTCTCAGACTAGTAAAAAAAAGACTTGATATATTCAAGGACAAATCTTTAGTAAAAAATACTTCACTAAAAAAATCTGATGTTTTGTACATAAAAGACTTGTAGTGTTTACTGAAAATCTGCCAAATTTTGTAAAGATACACTTACTATATTAAAAGTTAGTAGTATCAAAACTATAACAAGTACAAAGTGGTCACGAATCCGTGATAAGAGAGTTAACAGTCAAATAAATATAAGAATAGATGTAAAAAGGTTAAAAGTAGAAACTTTTAGGGGAAGTACTTCAGAACTTTGTGTTCAGTACTAAAAAGGATAGAACACTATTACTCACTTTATTTCTCATTTTCCAGCTTTAAAAGTTTTATGGTGGTTACAAGGTCAGTCAAATTGTTCGACCCCGTATAGAGTTAGGTTAGAGAAGAGAAGATATTAAGTTTTCTAAAAGAAAGTTTGATATTTGTTTAGGAGGTTTTAGAGATTATGAAAATGAAATTTGAAAATTTTCAGATTAAGAATATATTTAATCTTAACATGAAAATGTCTGTGCACTTGGAGCAGTTAACACTGACTATATATTCACAGTCAAATTTTTCTTATTTAATTAAAAATCCTGAATTTTTGTCTACAAATGACTTGTAATGTTTAATAAAGGCTTGAGAAACTTTGTGAAAACACACCAAATATGTTGAAAGCTATAGTATAAAATCTGGTCACTTTGGGTCACATGTTTGGTGTAATCTGTCAAGGTGGTAGCAAAAAGGTTAATTTGAAAAAAAAAAGGTAATTTCATGCACTATATTTAGGAAGAAGCCAATACAACAATCAAAAAAAGTAACTCACAGTTTTTTATTTGGACATATTTGTTCTGCAAACCTGTTGGCTGAATTATTTATAAATATTGTTTTGTAATTAATTCGGTTATAAACTCCTGATAGCTTTGTCATAATTCAATTTTATTTAGACAACTTTAGACTTTTTTTTTTCAAACTCTATCAGAAATCATTGAAAAGACAATTTCTAACATAAACTTTTTAAGAGAAAAAGCCAGTAAATGAAAAGAGACTTTAGGACCTGACCTTATGGGTGAATATAGACAGTGATGGCTTGTACTATTTAACAGCTCTGTGGTAGAGCACTAGCCCTGTTAATCAGAAATCCTGGATTCTAGACCCAAACCCAGAGTCTCTTGTTCACTTCTTGGATTTTTCTTGTAAACCTTTAAATTTGCATTTTAATTTTTGTGACTGCTTTTGCAGAAACTGTATCCTTTGGGAGATCTGATCCATAATCTCATAGAATAAAGTAAAAACATAAAAATACATTCTTCCTATTACATGTTAATACAAGAAGTCTATCACTATACTGTCTTCTTTAGGAACTGAAAGTAGTTTCTTAATATTCACAGGGAGGCCTTCAAATATTGGAGAATCATCCATCTTCAACTGAAGAACAAATTCAATACTTCATACGGTAAGAATATATGATTAGCAGAAACTATACCTCTTTCTGATCTAGATACCAGCAGTTATAGTGGTTTACAAAATTAAAATACTAATAATCATAATAGTTAGGAATAGGTATAGTTGAAACAAGCTTCTGTACTTTAGTTGTATGTTAAGTTGTATGTGTACTTTTTAGTTATTTGATTTTTTGTTGTTGCCATTTTTGGTTTGCTTTTAGTTTTTTTCAGCAGTGGCTGTCAGTTTTATCTCTGACACCAGATGTTACTCAACCTGTTTTCCAGGACTTGAACCGTATTCAAACATGCTAAATATAACTTGATACACTAAAAATAACATATAATATTCTTACATGTATTATGAATGGAAATATTAACATTTTACTTTAACAAATATTTTTATTTCTGATGGTTTTAAGAAATTTTTGTGAGTACAATGTGTGTTCTGAACTCAGCATATACACATGTACATATACTGGTTTTATGATGCAAAATAGAAAAGGTGTCATTTATTTATGCAAATTGATGAGAAGGTCATATGGAGAAATATTTCAACAGGTATAAATTTATTTTTTATAATGTTCGAGTCTTGGTTTCTTACTTATGAGAACTAAAGTTAAAGTAGGTTTATCTTTTATTAATATAATAGTGTTTTATATGTGAAACTTTTTTCTTTTTATCAATGACGCTATTTTTGCAAACACAAATGTGGATGTTGTACTTTTACAGCCAGTTGAAGAATCTAGGTTTCATTAATAAAAGAGAAATTATATTGGAACATCTGATTTATCTCTTGAAACAAGGAAAGTTACAGCAAGCCCAAACTGATGTAAATGTAAGAGATCATCAAATATTTTTTAATTATTAGCTCGATAATACAGACCCTGTTACTTACTATATTTCATCCTTTAACAAAAAATACATTTGCTTTATATTATTATCAGAGATATTTTGTATTAAAAAATAATCATGCTGTGTACTACTATAGTATTGTATGAATATAAAGCATAATATATTGTAAGTATAGATTAAGCCTAAAAGCTAAATATGTTTGGTTATAAATAATTTAGATGGTTTGTATGTATTTGGATATTTGCACAAAAACCATTCAAGGGTCATTTGTTTGTAGATGACCCTAACTTTGAACTATTAAACTAGAGAGAAAGCAGCTAGTCAACAGGACTTTCCACTACCTCCTGTTTGACTGAATAGAGAGATTTAATCTCACTTCTGTAACAAAACTTCAGCTGTCTCGGGCTACTTTAATAAAATAGTTGGATTTCACCATTACTTGTATAATGCAAAGTGCATCTTATTTATTTGTTGCAATAATGGTATACGAATCATTGGGACTTCAAATTCACAGTTTGGCACACTATCCAGTAGGCTATGCTTCCTGGCTCGTATAAGTGGGAAAGTTAATTTACCAAGTCTTATTACTTTAGGACAGTTAAGTGCTTTTATTAACAGGTATTAAACCTTATCATAAGAAACAGTTGATGAGAGTACAGTCTTCATCATTCAGTAATATAACTAAAAATATGTATATAGTTTTTGTTTTGATTAATTTAGTTACTAGTGTTTGAAGAATTTTTTATAAAATCTTTTATAAAACCTCTCACCACGAGCATCTTTTACTGTGCCTTTCACAAGGTTTTTAGTGTGTTACATTGAAAATTTAATTTAATTACTTTTTGTTCATGTTATACCAGTTAGTATAGCATAAAATCATAGCCAATAATCCATATTTTGATAGTATATAAGTTTTAAGTTCTTAATTTTATAAGACAACATTAAAAGAAAATCCCGAATTTTACCCTAGTGTGAGAAATGTGACATTTTTTCTCTAGCCTCTAGAGGGGGCTCTTCTCTAACTTATTTTCTACCTATACAACAAGTACAAAATTTAACATGAAATACTCATAATGTTGTCATCACTCAGACAAAATGTAATTTTCATAACCTTCAATCTTGTTTGGTTACAGAGCCATCAAATAGAAAATCAGACCCCCTTTTGCCACACCCACCTGTCATAGCCTCTCCTTCAGAATTTGTTAATAGTTCTCTCCTACATTTAATACTCTATTATTTATAATCAACAGAAAGCCAAAGTTTTAACCTATCAAAATACATATTACATTATTTGTTTTATGTACAGAGAACTCTATTTTGCTGCCAGTTCAAGCTTCATTCTGATGGGAAACACATCAACTAGCTTTGATGAATTTGTAACAGTTTTTGTTGGATAGTCAGAAAGCCAGAACAATTGTGATAATTAAAGGACATTGTCTGCTTTTTGCATGTTATTATTTTATGTTCTTTGGTGCTTTACTTGATTAAATAAAAATTTAGTGCAATTATACCATTAATATAAAAAAGTAGGTTTAAGTGTCATCAACAGTTGACGACAGAAATAAGAAGGCCCGGGTTAGTATTTTATTTCTTGTTTTTATTTATTTATTAGTATAAAAGTAACTAAGATGTAAAAATAGAAATCTCTTTCGATGAGTTAAAGTTAGATTAGGTAAAATAGATAATAATAATAATAACAAAAAATTTCAAGAGGCATGCACACGAGCAGCTAAAAATAGCTTGTGGGTAATGTAATTTGATAGCGGAACATGAGCCGCATGTGATTTTCTACTTACAGTGGCATGAGTAGTAGTTAGAAATGGTTCAAAGGGCAATGAAACAATAGAATGTAAGTATGAATAGATGTATACTGTTACAAGTTTAACTCGATATATTCATGGACAAACCTTGAGTAAAAATAATTCAATAAAAATTCTGATGTTTTGTAAATAAAAGACTTGTAGTGTTTATTGAAAATCTGTCAAATTTTGTGAAGATACACGTACTATATTAATAGTTAGTAATATCAAAACTATAACAAGTACAAAGTGATCACGTGGTTGGTAAATTTGACCGAGCCTGTGTTGAAAGAGTTAACGTAACAACATGGGTCTGACATTTCTTAGAAACATAATTTTGCTAATCACATGAGTTAAACTTTGTGTGATGTATAGTCATTAGTTTTTACTATCATTATTGAGCTTAAGTACCTGTTCATTATGTCTTTATTACCTCAGTATTATTCACAATTGTTAATAATCATTCTCTCTTAGTTATTTTCTCAAAATAGCAAGTTTTAGATAAAATTTCCTATAAGCATGGATGAAGAATAATTCAGTTTAGGGATTACATATATTTTTTATATTTTTTCCAGCACTTGCTGTCCAGACATAGATGTTACATCAGGAAAAATCAGGTTGTTGACACTACTATGAAAGCCTACATGGGTCTACTTGATTATATTCAGTGGGCTCATCTTGTAAATTCTTCACTAGATCAGAGTAGGTGAAACTATTACTTTAACCTGTTTTGTTTAATTAACTTCTCATAAATTAATTATGATATTGATTCATCTTTATTTCCTAACCATAAAAACTGCACGATCAATTCTGTGCCATCATCTGATCATGTTGTCTAAAATCAAATACAGAAAACTATTAGCCAGTCAGTTGTTTGTTTTTACATACTCTTTGTTAGCAGCTTACAAGCGATTCAAATCCATACTAAGTATACGTATATAAAAAATTGTATTTCTGCTTTAAACGTGACATTAATCAAACCACTTTGGATGATAAAATGGTTGTTCAGTAATTTTTTGTTTTTCACTTATTCTTAGATAAGGCAAGTTGAATTTATCAGCACGAACAGTTATAACAACTACTTTTCTTGGTCCATTTAGTTTTTTATTGAAATTTTACATATTGGATCAATCAGCACAACTATACTTAAAACAGCTTTTTCTTCATCAAAAAATGAATGAGTTGTTATTGAAGTGTTAAAAGTTTTAACAACACTAGTGCTTTAAATGTTATATTATGTTTTGTTCCAGTTTTTCTTGTGTTGCCTGTCTTTGGTCACATTGCTCTTCATGACCCATGTACTTTTATTATACATATTAAGAAAAGAAGAAAAACATGATTTACCAGTCTTTGTCCTATATGTTTGTGATGATTTTGTGTCACTGTGATTATGTAAACTCTCAATTTACTGATTTGTTTATGTACCATTCATTAGTGGTGGGTTCAATATATTACAATATATTGAGTGATCTTATGTTTTGGTGGTCACCATACTCAGTATAAGGAACTTAAGAAGAAATTGAGTGAAATCAATAATTTTATTTGTAAAAATACAAACAAAACCTCAGCTGTAATTAATAGGATTAATTGTATTATTAATGGTTTTCTCGCATTTTATTGGGAATCTATATTCAACAAAGTTTTGGATGGACCCACAAACAACTTGGTGCATATAGGAAAATGTGTTTAAAAATCCAATATAGGTCATATTTGTAATTCTATATGTATACTGTTACATGTGGCAGATAAAGATGTATAACATTTTGATTAAGTAATGTAACATTATTCTTTTTTTTTGTATTGTTATCAGTGGCTATTAATTCATCAAATCCAATATAAATTTAATTCTGTTTTTACATACTTATAAGTTACTTTGCCTCTTTAATAATCCCTGAAAGAAAATGTTCAATCAGTTTAATTTTGGTAAAACTTCAACATTAATGCTGTGTGTACCATTACTTGTGTTAACTGTTTAGGCTTACAAACTTGTGTATTTTCTACTCTCTTACAACATTTATAAAAACAGGAAGTTTTTTTTAAAGGGATAAAATAAATAATCAATAATGCCATAGTGTGTTAGGTATAACTATCATCAAATTAGTGTTCATGTCCGAGAATGTTCCACAACCATACTAATTATTAAGACTTATGTTTCTACTGTAGCTGATGAAAATGAGAAATGCCTGAGTCAGCAAGCAATAAATTGCCATGCAGAAAAAGCTGTTAAAGCTTTCCAAGAAGTCCTTAAAGTACCAGGGCAGTGGGACATTTTTGTTCTCAAGCTTGTAGAGGTGAGACTTTCTTTTTGTGTACACTATCTAAATGGTTCACTTTTTCTTTACAGTGGATAGATTTCAAACAGTAAGCAGTGAAACAAACAGTTTGAGCCTAAGTATGCATTTACAATATTTCCTTTGAGAAAAAAAAAATCACTCTCAGGTGGATGATAGAGCAGCTAATGAGGATTTAAATTACAAATACACAAATTGGCTTTTGGGTTGATTATTACTTATTGCTCACATTTCTTTTGTCAACTTAGAAAACTGCATTGTTCAAAAGTTTTAGATACAAGTTGTTGCAACTCTTTAACTTAACCCTTAACATAGTGGGGTTGGGTCTGTGTAACTTCTAGAAAATTTTGATATATTTATAAGTTAATTACATACTTTGTAGTAATGTTAAGATTATTTTATATTATCTATATTACTGCAAGCCTTTTTAATGCATTAATGTTTTTATTTCTTTAAACAGGCCACATAATGAAATTGCTGGGTTTATACAGTAATTAACCTATTGACTGCTGATTCAATGTATAGGGTATGGTCTGCCTCTGGCAGTTAAATGTGAATGTGCCATATACTGAATACGGTTTACAAAAATTTTGAGCATGTTTAGAGCAGCTGCATTCAATGGGTTAAGGACCAAAGAAGTGAACTAGAAACTATAAAGATGTTTGGGTTATAAATTATAAAAATTTTTGACAGTTAATAAATAAGGGTAGTTACAATACACTTCACTATGACAACAAGCAGTCCAACACTCATGTGATGATAGGTGTGGTCTAATAATCAATTCACATAAAAAAATATATTCTGTATTGTGTATAGCTCATACATTAAAGTTCCTATATTGTACTAATGAATCTTTTATTTTTCTTCATTTCCATGTGTGAAGGGCTTGGCGGTTCATAGACTTATTGCTGTAAAAATACACTGTGCACTTTGGAGCCATGGTTGCATTGGAAGAGTGATGGTCAAATCCCATTAATCAGTCAGATAAGAGTAGTAGCCCAAGAGCTGGTGGTGGCTATGGTCGAATAGCTGCCTTCTCTTAGTCTTTAAGCTCAAAATAATGGATAGCTATGTGGCCCTTATATAGCTTTGTGCAAAATTTTGAAACAAACGTGTGTGTATGAATGTGAAAAATGATTTTCAGTAATCTTGTGAAAACTTTGTAGTGGCACATGGCTGTAATGTTTTATTTTATAAACAACTAATAATATTTGTAAAAGAAAAAAATTAATAATTTAGTTCATTGTTTCTCCAACTGCTGATCCACAGAAGATTTCACAGTTCACAAGACAGTTGAAAAAATATTGTGTTTTAAAATATAGCTACTGAAGTATATTGTTTTACAATGTAAGTTAAAAATGCTTTACAAATTACTATTGTATGAAGTTGTATGATCCTTAGTTGGAAAAAGGTTGGAAACTACTGATTTAATATCATCTTACTCTCTCAGTCAAAAGTATTGCAAATACAGATTTCAGGAACTTAGCTTTTTCTTTTTTTCACTTTGATAGTTGAGTACCAATACACTGACTTCTTAGTGTACTAGTAGATATTAGTCAGCAGGTAACTAGTTTAAGATGGATATTCATTTGAGAAACATTATTACAATCAAAATGCCTTCCGTAATGGTATAATTATCCTTTCTTATTGCGTGTATCAATCTGAGGTAATCTGATTAGGTATCACTTAAAGTATGTAAAATAAATGAGTCATTGTGGATAAGTTTCCTTCATTCAAAAGCCTTAATGGCTAGTTTTGATGTCTTGTCACTCTTCACTGAAGTCCCCACCAATGAAGCTTGCAATATTGCACTCAACCT